TGCTAACTTTAGAGACGATACAAACTGCAGTTCCGTGTGGAGGATGCCGCGTACATCATGGAGCACGAGATGGGCCTCAGCTTCACAAAAGACGGGAATCCACGTCCGCTGCCCCAGAAACAGAACAAGCTGTGCGGTACGCACCGGCCCGAGCTACCCGCGGAGCGAATCATTGGGGCAAAGGTGCTGCTTGAGGGCGACGAGTTCTTTGTCGACGCGACAGTCACGGGTCCCGCTCAGCCGCCTGCTGTGCAGCCGAGGCGGCCGCCTGGCTCTGCTCCTCTCAGACGGTGGCGTGCCACAGCCGACAGTGATGACTCCACGCGCGACCTCGACGGGGATGAGGAGGTGTGGCGTCTCTCCCGCCTGCGTAGGCTTGTCGCCAACACCGTAGAGCGCTCCGAACGCGTCAAGAAGTTGAGGACCGAGGTGAAGCGCCTGCAGCGCCAGACGCGCGAGCTCAAGGCGGCGGCGGAGGAGGAGGGTGAGGGTGAGGGCGAGGGTGCTGGGCCAGACTCGAGCGCACCTGCAGGACCACCTCCCGCCCCGACCGTGTCCTCAAAGACCGTGCGACTGCGGGTGCCTGTGCCCAAGGATTGGCAGCCACCGCAGCAGCCAATCATCTTTGAGGTGCCAGCTGGACAGGTCCCGCACTCGATGGCGACGACCTTGATGGTCATCCCTCCGCCCTCGACTGTGCCTGGCGGGTTTATGCACGCCGATGTCAAACTGACGATTGAGGAGCCGCCACCGGTGGAGATGCCCGACAAGGGTGGAAAATCTTCGAAGCATCTCCGTGAGTACGTCGTCTCTCGTGCGTCGCAAGCCGGGCTCGAGTACTCTGCCGATGCAAACCCGCTCAACCCTCCTCGCGCATGGCCTCTGCGAGAGCAGCTCAGCTTTGCCAACTTGCGACCCGAGTACTTTGCTCTTCCAGAGCGCTCGAGGCTGTTCAAGAAGATGTTTGGCTTCGACTCGTGGGACGAGGCCATGAAGGTGTACGAGATGGTGTACCGGTGGGTCGAGAGGACGGATGGCGTGCGGCGAGCGAGGGAGGAGCGGCAGGCGGCGCTGCACCCGCGCTTCCAGTTCCTAGCGGCCCTGTGGCGAATGCGGGGATATAAAGATATCGACGAGCTCGCCTCTTTCTTTGGCCTCCTTGCCCCGCGAATGAGCGTAGACTCTTCGCGGTGGATCCGTCGCCTCGGCCGCTTTGCGAAGAAGAACCTGGTCATCGAGCCCAAGGACTACCAGACGGTGCTCGACCTGCTGCCCAAGTCCTTCAAGGAGTGCGGCCTCGACACCGTGGTTGCCATCGGAGACTGCACCGACATCATGACCGAGACCTCACGCGAGAGCATCATGACGTCCAACCTCCTCCGTTCGGACAAGTCTAAGCACTCGGCGGCGATGGGGCTCACGTGGTGCACGCCGAATGGCCAGATCATCATCGCGACCGACCTTTTCATGGGCCGCTCCTCCGAGCACGAGGCGTGCAAGGCGTGCATCCCGGCCTTTGAGCGCATGCCGGCGAAGTTCTCAGTCATGTACGACAAGGGTGTCTCGAAGCTGCGCGTCCACCTGCCGCACCTCAACGAGGTGATAATTCCTTGCTTCCTCAGAAAGGCGCCGCGCTTCACCATCGACCAGGGCATCCGCAACCGTGGCGTGACGTGCTGCCGCTACGTGGTGGAGGTGCCCTTCTCTGGCATGAAGGCGTGGAAGATGCTCGGCGACGTCGTGAAGGAGGAGGACAAGCCCCTGCTCAACTACGTGTGGTGGTGGACCATCGGCTTCCACAACCTCAACTGCGCAGTGCTCAAGCCGCCGTCGGGTGTGTGAGGTGTATGTGTTTCTCATTTTGTGACTCCCTTTTTTACTCATTAGTCATGTCTAGTTGGGCGACTGGGCCACGTCCGCCACGTCCGCCACGTCCACCCCGCTCCCGTCCTCCTCGCGACTTGCGCCGCTGCTTGCTCTTGCCCTGGCTCCGATTGAGTGTGTCGATGCTGCGAGGAGTTGGAACCGCGTTCGAGGGCGTGCCCAGCTGCGGTGGCGACTCGAATGAGCGGGGTGGACGGGGCACCGGCCGTGGGCTCGAGACACCGGACGGACCCGCTGCCGCCGGCGCCGGCGGCGCCTCCGCCTCCGCCTCCACCTCGGCTGCAGCCTCCGCCTCTGCGGCCGCAGCTTCCTCCGCTGCCTCGTCCGCCTCAGCTTGGGCTTGCGCCGCCGCTGCAGCAGCGAGCGCGTCTAGCCCACCGCCGCTCTCCTCGCCGTCAGCCTCGTCGTCGCTGCCCGGCGGCGTGGGTGGGAGGCCGCCTGGCGGGGGCGGAGCGAACAGATCGCCGTACTCGGCTCCCAGCAGCAGCGCCAACGAGCCGCCTCGGAATGTAGCGCACAGCTCGCGGAGTATGCCGAGGTGAAAGTCCGAGCGCTGGTAGTTCTGGTCGGCGCCGCTGACATGACTGGCAGCGTCCGAGGCCGCTGCAGGCGCCGCCGCCAGCGGCGCCGTCACCTTCGCATCCATTGACAGCCGGTCGAGCGAGGTGCGCTTGCTCGGCGCGTGAGGGTACCTGTCGACCCACCACACAGCCTTGCCCGACGGCGCGCGAGCCTTGTCGTAGAAGAGCACCTTGCTGCTAAAGTCGTCCCAGCTCGAGCAGTCCTGCATGCAGTACAGGACCAGCAGCAGGCAGTACATGTGCGAGCACTCGAGACCCTGCTCGCAGGAGCAGACAGAGTCGGGAGCAAGCAGCAAGACGGCCGGTCCGCCATCAGCCGGCTTGCGGACGGCGAGCATGACGGTGTGGTCCATGGAGCGCATCGAGGCGTGAACAGTCATGCGGAACACGTAGGCCTTGTCGAGCTGCCCCGGGGCTGACTCGTACGTGGCTTGCTGCACCGTCACCTACGGCTTGCGCGAACAAAGTGGTGAGACAGGGAGCACTATAGGGACACACATGCAGAGAGGTACACAGGGTGGCCTGCTTCGAGTGCGCGTGCGAGAAGTTGCCGACGCGAGTTGCGCGCGACATGCCAGAAGTGGAGTCGTACAGCCGGTAGCCTCGAGCTTGCGTGTTCTCAAAGGGGAGGAACTTGTCACGCGTCGCCGCATCGAGCAACAAGCCTGACTGCTTGAGGTCCTGGACCGCGTCGTACACTACCGAACAACCTCGCGGGGCGCCCGGCACGAGTTTGAGGTTGGTTCTCGTGCGCGAGTGCCGGTGTAGGGCCGGGTGTTTCGGCTTGAGCATGGGCACCTCGCCATCCGGATACTGCTCGAGGAGCCGACGAGCGACACCGCGGCTCGTCTCTGACGACCAGTTGGCGTAGACCTCCACCCCGTACTCTCCGAGGAAGGCAAGCACCTTGGCGTCCGACACGGTGTCGATCGTACTCAGCTTGACGCCGGACGCGTCCATCGCCACAGCCGGGTCTGCGTCCTCGGTCTCCGAGTCGCTCGCAGCCCCGGCGCCGCCGCCGCCCGCGCCGGGCGCGGCGCCGCCCGCGCCGGGCGCACGCGCGCGCGGCGCGCGTAGCTGGCGAGGGTGGAGCTGTCCATTCGCGTCGACGCGGTCCTCGCCTCGCGCCCACCTCGTTGCCGTCGCAGCATCGGCATCGAGCTCGATACCCGGAACCTGCTGCGCCCACGAAGCGTCGGCCGGCGGCATGCTTAGCCCTGGTTGGAGGAACGGCTGAGCGACGTCGACCGAGAGGTTGGGCCAGGACAGGCGTTCCGGGCCGAGACTCGTGAGGTTGTACACGGGGTGGAGGCGGACGGCACGACAGGCAGCGACAATCTGATCACCGACGGTCGCCCGGTCTGCCTGCGGCAGCTTCGCCAGCAGGGGCGCCACGTAGCCAAGGACAGCAGCATCCGTTGACCACTCAGCCGGCCGGTCGTGCAGCGGCGGGTGCGGAACTGCTGGCGTGTAGACTGGCGGCAGGCGCGCCGCGCTCATGGCGTTGTAGACGGTCACAAGTCCCCATCCCTGCTTGCCTTCCGCCTTCTTGTGCTTGAAGTAGTCGTGGCCGGAGGCAATGACGAGAGCAAGGAAGCGGTCGTAGTTCCAGCCGACAAAGGAGAACTTGCTGTCTACCTGCTTGCCCACCACCTGCTCCATCAGCCGGGAGGAGCGGTACGTTTGCGACATGATGTTCCAGTCGTAAATCACCTCCAGGGCGCCAAAGGCAGCGAGGTCGCTGTCCTCTGAGGCGGCCCAAATCACCGCCTGGTCCACCCCCAGCTCCCACTGCAGGGACACGAGCTGCTCGTCTGCCTCGTACGGTGCAACGATGAAGGGCATGTCCTTGTCGATGCACTCCTGCATCAGCCACGCCCAGAGTGGCTCGGCGGGGCGTGCAGCAGCCTTCCACTCCTTGGAGGCGTCCTCGTTCCTCGCCTCCTTTGCCAGCGCCTCATCGACTGCCTGCTGGCTTGTCCCGCGCCGCCTCTCGCGCTCCTTCTTCTTTGGCGGGTACGCACGGCCATCAAGGACGAGACACACTTTGCCACCCAAAGCATAGATGCCCTGGAGGTGCTGCATCACATACTGCTGCTGACGCTGCGAGATTCCCTCCTGCGCCACCTGCTTCGGCTGCTTCTTCGACGCCCTGTGTGCGAGGCCCGAGATGTCGGTAAGCACCATCTTGCCGTCAAACGGGTTGTGGGCGCTGACGTGAACCAGGTCGCCGGCAGCGGGGGCAAGGATCTTGCCCTTGCCCGCACCAGAACCCCATCCCATGGAGAGCAGCCGAGCTCTCGCTGGGTATCAGCGGCCGTGATGCGCGGTGGGTTCGCGCGAAACCTGCGGTGTGGACGTCCGCATTTTTGACGATATTCGCCGACTTCTTTATTTTTTGCCAGCGATCATTCCCCATGAGTACCCATTGTAAAAAGACAAAATCTGGGGGCAAGGACCAAACACACATAACACAGCCACGACACACGCCCGAACGAGGGTGTGCAACGCCTCACGCGGCCGCCACGCGCGGCGGCGCGCGCGCCGAGCCGCAAGCAAGCCGGCGCGTGACACCAGTGTCTCCCGTCGTCAACACGGGACATTGTCACCGCCGCGGGAACGTAGTCGCCACGGGTGTGCAACTACGAGACGCGGCCGTCCGGGCCGCAGCTTGCCTGGTGAGGAGTGATCTGTCGCTGCGCAGCTCAAGCCGCCGAGGCGACCCTGTTGCTCGCAATACTCTCGCTGGGGAAGTCGGTCGAGTCGCCGACGAGCGCGGATGATAGGACAACACTCCCAGGCGTCGAGCCTGGGAACGTCTGCCCCACCTGAGCAGTGCGCGACATCGACGTGTCTGTGGCAGGGTGCGCGTGTGCGGCGGGCAAAAGGTGTGCGTGCGCGCAAGCGGCGCACCCTGGTGAGGAAGTCGAGCGTGTAGACGGGAGCGAACCGTGCCACTTGTCACTGTACAAGCGGGTCGTACGGGAGCGGAGCGGCTCGTTGCACCGCAGCTCGAGCGCCTCGACGTCTGCCGAGAGCTGCACATCTTGCACCGTCTCACCGTCGCCGAGAGTTGGCGGGCGCCTCGCGGCGTCACCAGCCGCGGTGCTGACCAGTGTCGACCTCCGTCCCGCCTAGTACAGTCACGAGAGGTGGTGCGGCAGCAAGCCAGTCTCTGGCGTGGGCAGCGCGGCGAGCGCCGGGCGGCTTCAGGCCTACTCACGTCGAGGTGGCACCGTGCTCGCGGCGCCAGAGCCCGGGCCCATCCTCTTGGTAGCCGCCGTGGCCGGCAAAAGCTCGCTCACGGCCAGGGCGGTGGCCCAAGCGCTGCAGCGCGAAGCGAAGTGTTCTGCCACAGGCTGGCTCGCTTGAAACGCACTGAAAACACCCAAACCCGAACCTACTCATTGATGCCGCGTCCAACCTAAGCACACGTTTTTCTTTCGGTAAGGGCGGGTTACCCAACTCAGGGTGTGTGGCAGCCAGCTGGCTGTGTGTCTTGTGAGCCTGTTTGTGTCTGTGTGTCGCTCGTGCGTGTCGTCATCATCTGTCCAGCGTCCACCCATACGGTGGCACCTCCTATCATCACACGCCAACCCCTTTGCCGCCACCCTCTCCTTCGCCGCCCCTCGCCCCCACCGCCCTCCTCCTCCACCCCCCGCCCTCCCCCCCGCCCTACCGAACCACCCACCGCCCGCCCATGCCGACCTCCGTCCTCCCGCCGCCCTCCCCCCTTCCCGCCCCTCCGCCTTCGCCATCCCCCATCTGTGCGCCCCACCCCGTCCGCTCCCTCCCGCTTGGCGCCCATCCCGCCCTCCGCCCTCGCCCCCCGCCCCTGTCCTGGCTGGCCTGGGTGGCATCTCCTCATCATCACGCGCCAGGCGGGAGGGAAGTGGACGGGGCCTGAGCCGACCTAGCCCTAAACGGAATGGGGCGCCCAACACGTGCCCGGATTACTGTGCCTTCCCCGGGTGCAGCCTTTCGGTTCGTGAAGGGTCGGTGCGTGTCGTGACCCCCTGGAACACCCGTACCCCCGCACCATCTCCGTCGCTTGGTTCCATAACCTCTGCCGCCACCGGGAGGCGGCCAGGGCTTCATAGACTCGGTCGAGAGACCCCAGATTGGCATCCATGCCTCTCTGGACAGGGTGGCCCGCCACAACGACCCCTGGAATTGCGACTCGCCGCTTTCCTCCCGCTGTGATCCTGTGTGAGCTCTGTGTCTTGATTTGCCAACAACATACCTAAAACCCATACCGCGTTGGTGTCCAGTCCGAGCCTGGCTGTTCTTCACCTTACTACCTACCTACCTTAGTCTCTCTCTCTCTCTCTCTCTCTCTCTCTCTCTCTCCCCCCCCCCCCCCGGGCCAGCTGCACGCACGCTCGGTGACATCTCTTCACCTTCACACTGGTCGAGTCATAGGTGACGCGAGGGCGCTCACTTAATTGATTAATTCACTCATTAATTCCTTAATTGCGTACCGTATTCCGGGTAATCTTAATTATTAATCATCGGGCGGGGCGCGGCGCGGCGGCTGCGCGAGGCGGCGGCGCGGCGCGGCGGGCGGGCGACGCGGAGCGGGGCGGCGCGAACATCTGTCCTGATCAGGCCTCCGGCCTTTGACGCAGAACAATGGTCGCGCCGCCCTCGACTCAAGGGGCTGTCTTCCACCCGCCGCTGCTCAGGCCGGGGGAGGGGGGGAGACCTCCTGTTCCTCGCGGAACGGGAGCAGGCCCCTCCTTGCCCGGTCTGCGAAGCAGGGCGGTGGTCGTGCCATCTTCGCTTCAAAACGACCACGCCGCAATCGTCGCCGGCGCGCGACACGTTCCCGGAGGCCGGACTGTCCTGGTCGAGAGTGTGTGCCGCCAAGGCGGGGCTACTCGGGGACAGTGCCGACGGGGCGCGGCTCGTGAGACGACTCCCGCGAAGGCACGGCCACTTAGCACTTTCATTTCACATTTGTGATTTGACATTTCGGGCGCACATGCACATGAAAGAGAGATATATGTGCATGTCTCAAGCGAGACGTGTGAGGTGTGTTCGTGTGGCCGGTGACGGCTTTTCTAAAAAGTACGACGCGGCTTCTTTCTACCTTCTTGCGGGACTTGCCGGAGGAGGTGATGGCTATGACTTTGGACCTTTGCGAGAGGTGGCGAGCGGAGCAAGCGCGGTGTAGGCGCGCCCACGCGGCGCAGCGGCTCTCCCGCGACCATAGCCCCTCCCGCAGCCGCAGCCGTAGCCGCAGCCCCAACTCTTGCTGCTCTTCTAGTGTCGGGTAGTGACCAGGGGGTGAGGGGACGGATTGAAGATCCCTCACACCAAGATCGTGCAGGGCGGGGACACATGTCCCTAAATCCCACCTCGTCTCAGAGTTTGACCGTTTTTATTTATTTATTTACCTTCTTGCGTCTTGGCCGGGCCACACAACCCCAATTGCAATACACGGACGACACACGCACACGTTGGGTTGACACCTGCGACCGTCGCCGCTCTACAGCTCTACCTAGGCGTCCTTCCTAGGCGTCCTTCAGCGGTGTCGGCCCGCGACAGCAGCCACCAGCACCGCAACCGCCGCCGCCGCCGCCGCCGCCGCCGCTAGCCGCCGCCGCCGTCTCCTCTGCGCGCCCAGCGGGCGGCGCTGCTCTGCAAAGGCGGCGACCGCGGCGCGCGTGCTCTCCATTGGCGCGCCGGTGTCGATGACGCAGTGGGCGCGCTTGCGCTTCTCGGCGTCGGGGAGCTGATTGGCCAGGATCGCCTCAAACTTTGCCGCCGCCTCTTCCGGCGCCATCGCGCGCATGTTTGGGCGCGACAGGACGCGCTCTCGCTGCACGCTTGGCGGCGCGCTCACCACGAGGACCTCGTCGCACTCCTTCTCGCAGCCCGCCTCGTACAGGAGCGGTATGTCGAGGACCGCGAGTGGCTCAGCAGCAGCGCGCGCGCGAGCGAGGAAGTCGCGCCTCGCCGCACGCACCAGAGGGTGAACGAGCGCCTCGAGCCGCTTGAGAGCGGCCGCATCGCCCAAGACGGCCTTGGAGAGCGCCGGCCGCGACACTGCCCCGTCGATGACCACTCCGGGAAACTCGCGCGAGAGCGGCTCCACAGCCGCCCCGCCCTTTGCGTAGATGGCATGCACGATCGCGTCGGCGTCGCTTACAGGGACGCCCAGCCCGCGCAGCATGTCTGAGACCGCAGACTTGCCCATCCCGATTGAACCGGTGAGGCCGACGACCCACATCGCCTGGCCAGCGGAGTCTGGCGCTGCGGGGTGCCCGCGTACCTCATGTATCGGAGTTATGGCACACTTAAGAGCTGTGAACGTGAAGAGAGTGGTACCAGAAGTATGATCCTAGCCCAATACGTCCCACGGAGCACATTTCGATTTTTGACAGAATTAAATGCACTGCCCCCGCACGGTACTAATTGTCGTAGTTTTGGCACCGCTGCCCTTCACGGCACCACACCGCCGCTTGACAGCCCGGGATTAGCCTAGCAGCGAGTGGGCATCGCCTGCCGGTCGGCTGGGCACGAGCCAAGCACTTGGGCGGCCGTCAACCGAGTCCGAGCGGCGCCTGAGGCGGGTGCCACGGCGTCTGCACGAAGGCGTGGCGGGGTGAGGAGCCAGGAGTGGTGAACACCTCCCCGTCGGGCGCGCGGCGCGCCGGATGGTCCGCCGAGGCCGCCGCCGCCCCGACGGCGGCGATGAGGGCGGCGGGGCCGACCCAGCCGGCGTTTGTCGGCTCCACCTACAGAGAAGCAGCCTCAGTGGGTCGAGTTCAAATGAAGTGAATGTCTGAAGACGCAATCAAAAGCGCTTTTCTTCGATCCCCTTGTCGCTTGTGTCAGTAGGCGTCGCAATGAGTCGCAATTTTTTTCTCGTATGCTTGCCGAGGTGCAGTCGAGCTCTACCGGTGTGGGATGTGGTGTAGGGGTTGTAGAGACCACACACTCCAAGCTACCAGGGATACCCATCACTGAGCCGACGATGCTATGGGTAGCCCCAGGGTGGCGCCCACCCCCATGCCCTCAGGCACTCTTGCCTGCGCCCTGGCCGCGCACGCCGCGCACGCGCGCGCACGTGCGCGCACGCGGCGCACGCGCGCGCACGCGCGCGCACGCCCGCGCACGCCCTTTGCGGCATCGATCCGCTCCACCACCTCCCAAATGGGGCGCAGCTCCAGCCCCCACGGGTAGAGGTCGTGGCCGTCCGCAGCGAAGCTCGCCGCCCATCGCCGCCGCACCTCCTCGAAGTTAGTTCCGAGCCCATCCACTGCGAGCCAAAGCTTGGTGTCCCCGCCCTCGGCGTGGAAGCTCGTCGTCATCAGCGCTCCTTCAACATCTATACGCTTCGTATGGCTGTCGGTGAACTGTGAACGATCCCTCGCCTCCGATGAACCAGTTGCCTCGTCCTGCTCTGAGCGCCGTTTCGACACTTGCCTGAGTGTCATATGCTGTCGCCTGCATGGTGTATGTCTTTTGGTAGATCGCGCGTAGAAGCTGCCCAGTGTCTCTGCGATGTCTTGCACGCGCGACAGAGGCACAGCTTCGATGTAGGTCTTGAGCGATGGGTCGAGTTATATTCGGGCGCAATATCCACGTCTTCCGAGTTCCGACGAAATGTTGAAAAGCTTTCTTGCGGATAAAGTAAGGCGAACGGGTTAATGTCAAAGCCGTATGCAAGTGCAAGCCACGGCGCTTCAGACTGGCAGTGGGGACCCGAGTAGCCATCGTGGCACCTGCTCGTGGCTGGTGGGCACCGCACGCCAAGGAAGGTCGCAACGGGGTTTGTAGGTCTTGCCCCGCAACGTGCAGAGCGCTCGGTGTGCGGCGCCACCAAAGACTTGCGACCATCCCGCGACAGCGCTCAGAAACATCAAGCATAGTAGCGTTGTGCGCTTGTGCGCGCGGCGAGACGACGCGCTTGTGAGACTGAGAGAGATTGGCCAAACCCAAAGCGTCTCGCCGGGCGTTCCACCTGCACGAGCAGGATCTTGGAAGGACTCACGGGGGCACAGGGGCCCCTGTGTAATTATTGCGTTTACGAGGTGCGAGCTGTGTGTGTGTGGTTCCTGGTTGTGACACACTTGTATGTGTCCGTTTTTGGTGAGACCTGAGACACATGTCACATCGAGTAGACGGCAGCCAGGTGGCTCAGGTGTACAGTGACGTGCAACCAGAGTGCAAGGCTGCAACACATGGTGCAACATCAACAACCGTCAACCCACAGTGCAACGGCTAGTGCCATTTCACTCTGACACGCTAATCTTGAAAACGTCTCCAACGGAGCTCCGTGTTGCATCCAGCGCCCTCCCCCGCGCTCCCTGCGGCCATGGCCGATGATCCTAGTATGAGAGGTCATCTGGCTACCGCGAGAGCGACCCAACTCGTCGACATCGTCCGATGATGGTGCCGCAAAGTCAGCCTTCGGAGGCTATCGTGGGGTCGAGCCGGCAGTAGCCGTGACATGTGGTTCCACCACCCCTCGTAGGCTTTGCCTCTGATCGCCACCGTTCCCAGGCTGCCTAACGGGATGGAAAGGAAGGCTCGGCGAGCGTATAGAAGCGTGCTCGACCTCGACGTGGCAGCCTGCACGGCAGCGCTGGCGGGCGCGATGAGCGTCGTGCCACCTGACCCGAGACGGGTCGCAGGCGTCGTACTGAGCGCGTCGAGACCGTGTCCTGATGTGATCTGCACGGGTAAATCACGTCGGCGTCAAAGGAGCGACGTGCGACCTGTCAGAGCTTGATCTCCGATCTCAGCGGCGTCGAGTCGTCTCCGGCGCGCGACAAAGGTACATCCACAGGACGCGCAGAGGCAGCTGCGACCCCGCTGAGAGCGGAGATCAAGCTCTGACAGGTCGCACGTCGCTCCTTTGACGCCGACGTGATTTACCCGTGCAGATCACATGAGGACAGGGTCTCGACGCGCTCAGTACGACGCCTGCGA